GTGTTACTTCCACAAGCATCGCTGTAACCCTTGGAAACTTGAAGGCGAGTTGTTTCCTGTGTGGGAAGTACAAATGTATGTAGCCCTGGTAAATATTAGCCGCGATATACCGTTCGGCTAGAGAGAACTTCTGTTTAGTTCGATTCAGGATTGCGCGTCAGACAAGTAAATCACAGGTCCCGAGTTCGAATCCTAGAGTAGGCATTGCTGCAGCAATAATGTGTGTTAACTTAGTCTTCATTAGAGTAAATTCAGCACTGTATAACGACAAGGCATGCCGAAGATTTACATGACCGCATACCAAAAGTATGAGATCGACGTAGTTCCATTCGCCTCAAGTCATTCCAAGATAACTTCTCTCTATTCCCATCTTATTTGCTTTTCATTTGGTTCTGGTTTTCCTGACTTACCGATCTGCCCGAGCTACATCATTCTTTCAATCTGCCCACTGACTGAAAAGTTGTAGATGTTCTAGCTCACTGTTTCTATTGTTCTACACTATCTATGTGTCTGGGTCCTTTTCTGTTCTGTGCCATTTGCTCACTATTTTTCATCCTTGCACTAACTTTTCGATTTCCTTTAATACTTGAGAGGTAGACGGTGCACGAAACTATCTTTTGTGAAATTTGTGAAATTCGTGAAATATACATTCCAGCTGTTCATGTGTGAAGGTTTTTAACTTATACATATATCTCTTTTCTCAATCCTAAGAAGGTCATCATTCGTATTCTCTTAGGGTCAAGGTCGTTGTCTCTATATTAAAGGCTGACTTGATGCAACACAAGATGAGATGGTAGACTATGGAGGGTACTTTTGTGCCTCGGTTGTTCGTTGAACAAGATGGTGACTTTCCATCTCTTCGTGTGACTTGTGGTTTGAATCTTGAGTGTATGTGCCTAATGGTTGTGAAGATTATGTCGTCCGTGAACTGGGAGGCAATGCGACATATGAAGATATTCTTGGGTCACATTAAAAACAGTACAACAAGGATTGTGACATTGTGACGGTCTCCATTTGGTAGATGTTACAGTGAATTCTCGGCTTTTGTATTGCTTGTCTTGCTGATCTGATCGTTAAGGTGACCGAGGGTTAAGTTGTTGTCATTCCTCATAACATCAAAGACCACGAAATAAATTAAAAAAAACGGATAGAGAAGGTCCTTTCTTTTTTATTATTAGTGATACTTCAAGCATTATTTCATTCAAAAACTTGTCCAAGCTCATGACACTAAGTGAAAGGTGAGGTCTACACAGACGTCCGACAGGTCTGATTCATAATGACACTAAGTGATTGGTGAGATCTACACAGACCCCCGACAGGTCTGATTCCTGATGACACTAAGTGATAGGTGAGATCTACACAGACGCCAGACAGGTCTGATTCCTGATGGTACTAAGTGATAGGTGAGATCTACACAGACCCCCGACAGGTCTGATTCCTGATGGTACTAAGTGAACGGTGAAGTCTACACAGACGTCTGACAGGTCTGATTCCTGATGGTACTAAGTGTAAGGTGAGGTCTACACAGACGCCCGACAGGCCTGATTCCTGATGGTACTAAGTGAAAGGTGAGGTCTACACAGACGTCCGACAGGTCTGATTCCTGATGACACTAAGTGAAAGGTGGTGTCTAGGTGAATGCTTGCATGGACACGGTTCAAAATGTAGTCCAGCCATTATGGCAAATATGTGAAAATACCACAAGTTTATTACAAATTATATACTTTAGTAAATGCCTTGCTTTAATTTCATAGCATCACAGTATCTCTAATGTCATAGACCTTATTTTTCTGGCAGGCTTTTATCTCTGGCTCTAGCCTGGTACTTTCCTGACTGGCATAAAGTTGTTGATTTGCAATTTAGCCTATGATGGAAATTGTAGTCGAGAGTTCTCAACCTACATCGCCAATGGTATTACATTAAGGTTTGATCGGAGACCTCCCCGAAATGAGCGAGATTATAACAGCTTAGTTCATTTTAGTCAGGAACCGTTTCGTGTAAACAGGGAATCGTTCATCTTAATTAATTATCTATTAAAATCATTTATGATAAAACAAATGTAACATTAATTATTCCATTATTTTATTTAATAGTTGGTTTGGGTATATAAAACGTTGAGCCATTCAGAGATCTAAGACGCCCTAACTATATCTATTACTGTACAGCATGACGTGAAGGCAGAAAATGGCCTCAACAAATAGTTGACGCATGGGAATTAATTTTTGGCGCTGAAGACATGAGTCTGGTATAGATCAGATGTGCATATTTGTCGTGGAGTAAGAAACCGAGAAACAGTATCACGAGATCTCAGATTCTTCATACTTCTGGAACCAACAAAAAGTGTGTTTGGCACGGCAATACCTCATCTATAAGTCGGGTAAAGGACGTAGGAATGAATACCGTTATATCTAACGACTATGCCATATTGGAGGTATTCCACGCCTGAAGTGTATAGTACAACATAATTAATGGTCGCCATCAAACCTAGAATGATAAAAGACACATTTTTTAACAGATCATAGTATTTATCGTTTATATATATTAGAAAGCTAAGTTGGCTCTGTAATATTCAACTTCCCGGTATCACTGTTGGCGTCTGATGTTTTTGGAGACTGACAAAAGCTCTCGATCGTGACGGAGCTATTCACGAAATATAACGCCATTATCACGGACCTATAAAACTCTGTCTCATTCATCCCCGGCAATCTCGTGCCAATAGAAGCAGCTGTAAAATCATCAAAAGGGGCGTGCAAGACCTTTAAAGTCAAGTATTGCAGACCTCCACAACTAACAATGACATTCATAGAAATGTAAATATGACATTCACAACTATATAACAATGACCCTCATAACTATGTAGCAATGACCTTCATAGCTATATAACAACGACCTTCATAACTATGTAACAATGACCTTCACAGAAATATAAATGTGACATTCATAACTATGTACCAATGACCTTCATAACCATGTAACAATGACCTTCACAGCTATGTAACAATGACCTTCATAACTATGTAGCAATGACTTTCATAACTATATAACAACGACCGTCATAAATATGTAACAATGACCTCCATAGCTATATAACAATGACCTTCATAAATATGTAACAATGGCCGTCACAGGAATGCAATATTGACAATAAATGTAATTTTCCCTTATAAACTTTTTTATCCATGAGCAGTATTTGTAATAGATTCTATCACATATGGGTATTGAGAATATCTTTGAAATTTGAGACAATCTGACCTCTTTTAGCCTCACCCATCAGCCCCTAGAGGTCAGTCAGAGTCAATAAGTGTGTACCATTAAATAGTCATTTTATAGTAATAATTTTAACCAAGTTTAAACTATTTCCAATAGAAAAAAAAGAAATTATGCAAATAAATGTAATTTTCTATATAAACTGTAATAAACTTTACCCCCTCTCCAGGGGGAAACGTGAGACCTTAGTTCATAAAATTTACAATTTTCGTAAAGCACCTTAAGAAATATTCATCCATAAAGAGTATTTTGTTCTACCCTATCTGTCTAATGAAAAGAAGATTTTGGAAATTTCAGTCAGTTTGACCCTTTTTTGGCTCCATCCATCAGCCATTGGGGGTCAGCCAGGGTCAATATGTGCATTTCATCAAACTGTCATCCTATAGTAACAAGTCTAACCAAGTTTGAACTATTTCCGGTAGAAAATAAACAAATTATACTAAAAAATGTCATTTTCCTATATAAACTATAGTAAAATTTACCCCCTCATCAGGGGAAATGTGAGACCATGGGGTACGAGACTTACAAATTAGGGAAAGCATCTTAAGACCTTTCCATCCATAAAGAGTATTTGAATCTACACTGCTTGGGTATTGAGAAGAAGATTTTTGAAGTTTTAATGAATTTTACCCTTTTTGGCCCTGCCCCTCCTATCCTGGAGGGTGGAAACCATATCATTTACAAATTTGGTGTACCTTTGCTGATGGAAGGTTTCTGTTAAATTTCAGTGAAATCCATTCAAGGGTTTTTGAGAAGTCGAAATTGTCAACTTTGTCTCAGGTGACCTAAAAATGTTATACAGTAATAAATATTTGCTAACTAAACTTGAATATTAATCTTTACTAATCCACTCTCTTGATGTTTAGGCATTTCAATTGTAGCATATAAAACCATTAAGTAGAAGAATGACGATAAGTTTTACTCTTGAAATATGGGAATTAATCAGTTTGATAGAACCTGTGCCATCAGTGACAATATATGAAATCTCATATTATTACTACTGATGATATAACCTTAGCAGATTGGTATGACACATATGTATATTTTTCACTTGTGCGGATAAAGATATTCTGTCAAACTCAAAAATATTACTGATATTAAATAGGAAACCATGAAATATCCTCTATATCTCATGAAATACTTGGATTAAATTCCATACAGAGTGCTTGATACTTATCATGATAATGTAAAATTTAGGAGTCAAAGAAGGAAAAGAAATATGACTGTATACAGATTTAAAAAAAAAACTTGGCAAATAACATTGAAATGCATTGCTGAAAAGCAGTCACAAGCAAAAACAGTTTTTGAGGAAGCACTTACAGTCCGTGTGGAATTCTGCCAGGAATTCTCTTTCTATTATAAAGTGACCTTGACCTCTGACTTCCTTACAAAATAAAATAATCCTAAGCTAGCATATTATTCCATGAAGAGCTGGATCAAATCTTAATAGATTGGTCAAACAGTACTGGAGATACTGTGTGGAATTATAGGATGAACTGCTAGACAGAAAGATGAGGGAAATTTCAATATTCCTTTGCAACCTTCTATTGTGGGGAATAATAATTTTCTGAGCCACATAGAAAATAACATTGACTGTTTCAATGTTCACTGTTGGTACAACCTCTGTATAATTAAGCTATACCATGCAGTAAAGAACAACCAGCAATATACTCTGTAAATTGTTTATTTTACAAGTGAGTATAATGTACACTTTATAATTCATTTGACAACATGTTAAAATGGCTGTATTTCATATAAAAAGTTATAATATTCACAATAAAATAACTCAATTCATATTACACATGTAAAATGCTTAAAAATAATTCATAAACAAAGGACAGAAGACTTGATATCTGTCCAATATCTTCTGTAATATATAGAAAACAGTATGTAATCTCCACTTTCAGAAGACCAACATGTAGTGTAAACATTCCTACATGTTACGGTTATGTATCATATTGGTGAATTTATTGTCCTTCAGCAGTTTAGATTCCAAGATGACACAGAGTTACAATGGCCATGTCTTTTTTACACACCTGCAAAGATTTGTTGGTGATATTGATTTCAATCTCGTATCAATTCAGATAACAAAATCTGGTCTTAATTAAAACTTGTATACCCTAAATCTCATGTTGTGAGAACTAACTTTACCGTTGTAGTATCAAATCATAACAATTAAGAAATTCTTGGTTCTTGTTTAATGAATCTAGAATATCATATAGGTTCTTTAAGAATACTCTAAAAACCTAGAAGTTCCCAGCCTGACCAAATCTAGAAATCTGAACTCCTTTACCAACTGATTAGATGGTAAACTGTATAAAATTTAGGTCAGATAGGCTAATATATAAGAGTTATCTCCCTTCTGTTAATTCTCAGCATTAGTTCTTATTTCTAAAGATTTGTTTCTTCACAGTGACCTGAAATCTACAACAGGTAAATAAGGTACATATACCTTGAGATGTATTGGAGAGTTGATTATTCACTACATCATTTTCATGTTTCTTCAAATGGATTTATGAAAATAAATATGCAGAAATAAATGAAAGAGATTAAGACAAACTATTTTCCTGAGAAATCAGATCTTACACTCTAGAATGCTTTTTCCCAGAAAGCACATGTTGCTCTTTAGAACCAAGCTGTGTCCATAAATATCCCTATAACCTCTATAGATCAACAAAGCTATGTCCAGAAATATGCCTATACTCCCTATAAATTAATCAAGCTCTGTCTAGAAATATGCCCACACTCTCTTTAAGACTTGTACAGTTTTTATTTAGAAAGGGCAATTAAGTCCAGTGAATCATTTTTGTCTCCAAAATCTAAGGCAGTATACTTCAGGCATAAAAAGACAATGTGAAATTCTTTACCCCTGGAAATGAGCTTTCTTCCCTATAAGATCACCCCATTTAATTTCTTTATCAAAATTCAGTTTTACAGTATAAGTGTAGTTAATACCTCTCCATCATATTCATCCTATAATACTACATCTTTCCCATCCAGCTGTCAATCAAAAGTTTATGATGTTATAAGCTATGGTAAATGTCTCATTTATCTGCAATGAAGCACTATTGACATTCTCATTAATATGTACTCCTAACAAAAACATACACCTTTGGTCATGTTTCCTAAGGTCAGTCCAATTAAATCAAATCAAGTATGCAAATACTTCATACTCACATCAACTCATTTTCAAATTCTGAGAATATTTCTTCCCACATCAGACTTGAACATTCGTATACACAGTGTGACTAGAACTGATCGAAGGATTTGATCCTTAATTTGTGATTAATGTTTATGTGTAAAAATATGACCAGTAAAAACACATGGAGAACTGAAAAATGAGGCTTTTGGACTGTCCAGAGTTCTGTCAGCTGTAAAGAGAAGAATTTTAGGAATAGGCTTTGAACATGGGGTTTTACAGGACCTGTAGGTGCCTCTAGGGACAACTGGTATCAGTTGTCAGGGTAACATCAGTGTTTAGGTGGGGTGGGAGTTGTGCGTTTCTTGCTTTTGGTCTTGCTGACATTCCCTGGGACTAACTGTTGTGGTTGTTGTGGTTTCAGCTGTATTGGGTGAAGCTGGAGTGGTTGTTGTTTGTTGAATGTCAGCTGTGTTGCTTGTAGGTTTATCAACTGCTGAGGCTGCAGTGTGGCCCCTGGGGCCTGCCCTGGCTTTAACTGAGATAAGGTGGCCACCTGGTGGCCGGCCAAGTTCTGTGCTGACAACACCCCTGAAATAGACACATTATATGATTAAATAAAAATCTATAAACCAGTTAAGTAAATATCATTATAATTGGACTAGAAGACATGATCTAGGTGTCTCAATGATCTCTATGGAAAGAGTGATAACATGATTAATCAAGGACAGATATATGATGGCAGACAATAGGCTGATGGACAATGGAAGAAGGTTAAGGCCTCGAAATTCTTCAGTGGCAACACACCTGTTGTTGGTATGGAGACAGCTACTTTTGTGCCACTTAGCTGTTGACCTGCTTGCTGAGATGTCAGATTTCCTGTTCCTGTTTTCAGTGGAGCTCTCTGCTGTGGAAGACCTAAAAGTTGTATTCCACCATGCTGTCCTTGGATCTATGATAAAATCAGGAGATTTTATTAGTTTACTGGCTCAATTTTTCGCACTTTTTAAATGTTTATGTTTATTCAAGTAATGGCATGAGAATATACACAATGTTATATACTTTTTCTGAAATGATCAAATATACGTAAATTATAAAATTTATTGTATTTTTTTCTGAAATGATCAAATATACATAAATTATAAAATTTATTGTATTATGGGGTTAGTGAACCTCCGCATCAAAATTTTCACTTTTTTTTCTATCAATGCTTATTTTCCTCAGTCGCCTCCTAGGTTTTAACATTCAGGCCCTTAGCATCACTGCTTTGTCCTAGAGAGATGAAATAGCTGTATCCTGCAGTTTCAGTGATTATCTGACTCTACTATATCTAAATCTATCTAATTATTTAACAGGATTACATAATGAAACTTGTGTTTTGTAAAATTTTGCAAAATTTGAAAATTCCTTTCAGATCATTAATTCTAATAATCCCGTTAAATGTCATGGTGGGTGTTTGAACTATGTATTACTGATTGGAAACAGCTCTGATTTACCTGCAGCAGGGGTAGGGTAGTTGGTGCCCTAATAATCCTGTTAAATGTCATGGTGAGTGTTTGAACTACATATTATTGATTGGAAACAGCTCTGACTTACCTGCAGCAGGGGTAGAGTAGTTGGTGCCCTAATATTGGTGCTCGTCTGTTGTTTGATCCCAGACATGAAAGGACCCAGACCAATGGATCCTAGTGGAAGAGACAGCATACCAGCTGGGGGAAGTACAGAGGTTGGGTTATTTGCAATACCTACAACAAATAAATGCTTAAATATAAATACTGCTGCCAGTACATCCTTTATTTTTTTATGAACAAAAGAATTTTTCTATGCTTTTAAAGAAATATCAAAAAGCCCATGCTTCAAGACCATTTATGCTGACAAACAGATTTATGATCATGTCCTTCATCAATAATCTCCATGATTAAGATATAACACTATATTATATTTAAATCTGATTTTTTAAAGACTGAATGAAAATCATTACAATACCACCAACCTGAAGTGCGACCACCACTGGATGCTACCGTTGTCGTATTTGTAGTGGTACAATGGTCAGATACTGATGGAATTGAAGTTACCATGGTAACCATTGTTGGAGCGCTAGCACCTGATGAGGATGTCTGATCAGAAAAACAAATGTTACCAAGAATATCAGTGAAACTGAGGAATGTTCCCTGAAAGTAATTTTATTGGACACAAGATTTTAAAAAAGGGTTACAAATCTGAATATGTTGTACTGAACATTCTTTTAACATGACCAATGTTTACACAAAGTTTCATGATCTTAATTTTAATGCAAGCAATGCTTTGCTCATAACACAAAATTTCAACAAAGTGCAATAATGCTCTACTGAGGGTTCATGGGTCCAGACTTTGATCCACTGCACCTTGCTTTCTCATGACTGATTTATACATCATGTTTCAATATCCACGCAAAGTATTGCCCAGGACACAAACTTTAAAAAAAGAGCAATAACTAAGGGATCAAGTGCCCTAAATTTAATACATACATTTGTCTAATAATGGTCAATGTACTGTATACACCAATTTTCATGATCCTTGCTTGAATATGGGAAAAGTTATGCCTTGGAAAGAATTTTTTTAACAAAGGGCAATAACTCTGCATTAAGAGGTTGCAGGTCCTACTTTGGATAAATTGCACATTCTCTTTGTATGATCAACATATACACCAAGTTTCATTATCCTATCTTAAGTGCAAGCAAAGTTATGATCTGGAAATATTTCTAACAAAGGACAATTACTCTGTAATTGAGGGATCAACAGCCCTGAACTTGGTACACTGCACATTGTCTTAGCATGATCAATGTATCCACCAAGTTTCATTATCCTTGCTTAAATGCAAGTAGTTTAAAGTTGTGCATGTGACACAAAATTTTACCCAAGGGCAATAACTTCATAATTTACAGATTGCATGTCCTGAATTTGGTACAGTGCATAACATCTTAGTATGATCAATGTTTGCTCCAAGTTTGTTATCTTAATTTAAACACAAGCAAAGTTATGCTCCCGAAACAAAATTTTAACAAAGAGCTAGGACTCTGTAATTGAGGGATCAAGACTCTGAATTTAGTACACAACACATCCCCATAGTATGGCCAATGTATACACCAAGTTTTATTATCCTTATTTAACTAAGGGCAAAGTCATGTTATGTTTCAGACAGGAAGGACGGACAGAAAGCCAAAATGGTAACTTTATCATACAAGTCAAACATTTCCTTAATTCTGTTGTCACCATTTAATGTAAAGGATACATTTGAACAACAGACATTTAATGATTAGGACTCTTATGTACATTTCTAATTTAAGTACCAAGGCAACAATTCAGTATAATGTTCACTCCATACACAGTTGCTGTACCAGGTCAATATGTAGATAACCAGACACAGGTAAGTTTGTGTTTCATCTGTCTTACCTGTGCAATGGAAGCCGAGGACACTATGGGTGATGACGTGGATGTTGATGATGACACGATGCCGCTGGGTAAGGAGCTGACAAAGATTCCAGTGTGGTTCTGAAGCACACCAGCATTTGTGTTGATGAGGCTGAGGGGGACCGGGATACTTCCCCCTGGGACAGATAGGGATACTTGCATGTTCTGTATGCCCTGAAGGTTTGTAATATTCATGCCCTGTATACCTGTAATGTTCTGGATGAGGTTGGACGGCAGGCCAATATTAGCTATGTTAATGTTAGTGATTGGCTGTTGGCTTAGCGTTGGCTGACCAGTGCTGCCCTCTGTAGCTAAAACAGAAACAAAACATATTTATTATTGCAAAGTTCTACACAAAACTAAATCACTGTCTATTACTATTTAGATTCTTTCATAACATATATAGCACATGTTATATATTGCTCATATTTTACAATGAAACAGATAAGTACTGTAGGCATAAAATTAATAGTATCAGTGAAAATGATAAATACTCTCTGGAAACAATTCAATTTGAGACAAAATATTTACAAAGGGCAATTACTCTGTAACTGAGTGGTTTCTGGCCTGGAATATGGTACACAACATCTTGTCTTAGCATGACTAATGTTTACACCAAGCTTCATTATCCTAATTCAAATGAGAGCAATTTTAAGTTATGCTCCAAACACGAACTTTTAACACAGGGCAGTTACTCTGTAACATTGTCTTAGTATGACCATTGTATACACCAAGTTTCATGATCCTTGCCTAACTGTAAGCAAAGTTATGTTCCTGACATGAAAGGACAGATGAACTAAGTGGCAACTATATGCTCCCCGAAAAATGTTTGGGGGAGCAAGAAAAGTTTTTTATCTGATGACCCTTTTTTCACTAGTGATCATTAGATGACAGCTAAATCTGCCGAGGCAAGCTCACTAAAACAAGGGGAAGTAACTCATATATCACTAATGTCATCAGTGACTCAGCTGGCAGAATGTCAGCCTAACTGCCTGTGTAACAAACATTTTACATAGCAATGATAAAAGGAAAACTCCATACAAAATGAATTGGTGAAATGGTATTAACCAATTAGGAGCTAGAAAATGGTGGCAATCTTGTCAAGTCAGAAATCAGATCCTGTTTACACATTACCTGGCCATCAGTATTAATCTCTAAAAGTTTGGTTCAAAGTCAGAGTTTTGAAGAAAAGTATCATAGAACTTTAAGGTAGGAGGTGGAAGAAGAAAAAACAGAAGAATCCAGGTAAAATAAAAAAGTCACAAAACTTTGTAGAGTTAACTTCAATATAAATCGTGTGAATGAAGTTTATGATACATATCTAATGATTAATAGAACAGACCACGATTACGCCGAGAGTGGAGATATCAATAAAAGGACCTCTACTGGAATGACAAATTATAATACAGTATCATGAAATGTTCTCTACTGAAACATAATACCTACTGCATACTGACATACTTACTTTGTACAAATGTAATATTTCCAGCTTGTTGGAGGCTTTGTTGAAGCTGGGTGATATTGGAGTTATCTACCCCTGACTTTCTACCCTGAACATTTGGGTTGGTGAGTGTAGTGTTAGGTGGAGGTGTAGGAGTGGGTATCGGAGTCTTCACACTATGGACTGAAGTTACAGAAGTCAGACCCTGGGGAAACAGCTGACCCTGAACTGCAAGGAAAATCCATCAGTTTTACATGCTATTCAACAATAAACCCCTTTGACCCAAGCATACCCTATATGAATTAAGCTTAAAATCTCTTCATTTGAACTGAATTTAAAATTCTTACCAATAACCACTTGACTGGTCCTAAGGATCATTCACTACAATTACACAAATTTTGATTTATTGACAGTAAATAAGATTATTCCACACTTAATAAACTCTCTTCAATTAACCTTCTGACAGACATGCTAAAGTTCAAAGCAACATATACTGTAATGCCAACATAAAACTTGCCATACCTGTAGATGTGGGTGTGGATGCTGGACTCTGATCAGGGGTGTTGGGTACAGACCTGTTAAAGTTAAATAGTTAAAGGTTTATATGTAGATTTAGACGTGTAACAGGTCTGTGTAGTCATTATGCTGGTTATGGTGTAAATGGATTTCTTACTACAGGTTATATTTGGATATATCGAGAATATCAAGCTGATGTACATTGGCTTTTCATATACTTAAGGTCTGTAATGATTCATTTACACATGGTATAACAGTGTTGATTCACTGACACATGGTATAACAGTGTTGATTCACTGACACATGGTATAACTGTTGATTCACTGACACATGGTATAACAGTGTTGATTCACTGACACATGGTATAACTGTTGATTCACTGACACTTGGTATAACAGTGTTGATTCCCTGACACATGGTATAACAGTGTTGATTCACTGACACATGGTATAACTGTTGATTCACTGACACATGGTATAACAGTGTTGATTCACTGACACATGGTATAACTGTTGATTCACTGACACATGGTATAACAGTGTTGAATTTTTATATACTTAAGGTCTGTAATGGTTCACTGACACATGGTTAACAGTGTTGATTCACTGACACATGGTATAACAGTGCTGATTCACTGACACATGATATAACAGTATTGATTCCCTGACACATGGTATAACAGTGTTGAATTTTTATATACCTAAGGTCTGTAATGGTTCACTGACACATGGTTAACAGTGTTGATTCTCTGACACATGGTATAACAGTGTTGATTCACTGAGTAAAGACAGTTTCAAGTCAGTACAACTGAAGACTTAGTTTTATTATGATGTTGTTGTATCCATTATTTCTGTATCATGATATGTATTGTAACATGAAATTTATGATATTTCCTCCTATACAAGGTATAATAAAAGTTTTTGTATTTTGTAGCTTTGTATACAATGGATAGTGGGTAGCACTTCTATCCCTTAAATTGTTTATTTTATCTAAACCTGAAATATCATATACATTAAATCAGACCTTTGTCCGACTCCATGGTGGCCAACTTTGGAACGAGACAGTGACTGTGATTGGTGACCTGTTGGCTGTTTCTGTATGTTAAGCTGCAGCTGATTGGGTGCTTGTGAAGTGCTTCCTGGGGCTGAAAGGAATAAAATATAATCATGAATTACTACCTGAAATTCACAATATTTTTTATGAAGTTTGACTAAACAAAGTAACAGTATTACCTGCTGGAGCAATGGTCAGTGAGAGCTGTATGGGCACATTCCTTTTGCCAGCCAAGAGTCCAGCCGCTGTAGTTCCGCTCTGGAGGTCAGGCTGTAATGACCAAATACAAACATTCTTATCATGAAGTATAAAAAGTCACCAACTTAGCTCACCTAACATCCCAATCATTACTAGTTAAAAAACAATTTCAAGTGTTAGTTTGTTTTCTGTATTGATATTTGAAATCATGTAATGTACGATAAATCTTTGGCAGCTAACTTCTACATCCTCTAGCTTCAGAAATTTACAACAAATTTGCAGAGATTGACTTTTGTAAATTCTGAACCAACAATTTAAAATTGAAATAAACAATGTTCATTTCATTTTAGTTCGAATTCCCAGTCAATAGCTTGGCTACAATAAGTAAGCCAGCCGCTGGACATTTAGGGACACAGAACAGTAAATGATTTGTTTGTAGACAAGACAAACTTTTGATATTTCAAAAAATAGCAAAGTGGTACAATTCCTTAATGAATGAACCAGTCAAATTGATTTTCAAATTAATTAGGTGTCTTAAGGCTTTTATTACAATAGCAACACAAGCTTGTGCCGTATTTTCTGGATTATAAGCTGCACCTTTTTTTCTCGTAATATATATACTGGTGCAGATTATATGTGGACAAAAAAAATCAACAGGAACAAAAATAGAAAATAAATAATAAAAAACAGGAAGTGTACCAGTACACCAGTACAAGTACTCCTGTAACATAAGAGGCTGCTGGTCGGTAAAAAGGTCTGTCATTATTGTGTAAACTGCGACTACACAGCACCTGTCGTAAGTTTCTTGCCATGTAAAACCTCTAACATTGTTGACGTACAGACGCTACTTAGTTCTTGTACAAATACCTGCCCGTCACTACTTTGTGACTGAAACATATTATTTAGAACCATCATTTGCAACTGTATACAAGATGATTTGAAGATTGAAATAAAAATAACATTCCTGTGGATTTAATTAATCATACTTTTTAATATGAATCACTATGATATCTTCTGGATTTCCATGGTTACTTTGAAGCCATAGTGGAAGTTTACCATACCTTTTGCATTCTGGGATTGATAGGTCATCGGTTCACAGGTCAAATTCTAGAATGACCACAATGCTTGCTTACGAAAGTACAGACACCGATGGAGAGATTGTTAAGTAAACAGACATATTTTCAGGCCCTATATTTGTGTGTAGATAATCTGTGAAGGCACCCAAGTCCAACGAGTTCCATATTTGCTATCTTAGGTTTTTTTACCTACATCAATAAAATAAAGGATAATCTGTGTATAATTCATTTGCACACTTTATTAAATGTTTCACCGACGATCTTCATAAATTGCCCTCCATTGTCTGTTGTATCAACAAATTTTGGTCTACATAACCATTACCACTTTGTAAGAACTGCCTTCCACTATCTGTAACCATTATATCAAATGCCAACAATAGTGGTCATCATGTTGTAAGAAAGGGTGTAGTTTATAACAGGATGAATCGAAAAAATCAGCTCTGCAGCTTCTATACCGATGCGGCTTATAACCTAGAAAATACGATATACATATGCTGTAGTAAAGGATGAGGTACTTGTGCTGTAGTGAGAGATGACGTGCCTGTGCTGTAGTGAGGGCTGATGTACTTGTGCTGTAGTGAATGCTGACGTACCTGTGCTGTAGTGAATGCTGACGTACCTATGCTGAAGTGAAGGATGACGTACCTGTGCTGTAGTTAGGGCTGATGTACCTGTACTGTAGTAAGAGATGACGTACCTGTGTTGTAGTGAGGGATGACATACCTGTACTGTAGTAAGTGTTGACATACCTGTGCTGTAGTAAGGGATGACGTACTTGTGCTGTAGTGAAGGCTGACGTACATGTGCTGTAGTGAGAGATGACATACCTGTGCTGTAGTGAGGGTTGCTGTGACAGCTTGCCGACTCATCAGAGCCTGGGCAGCAGTGATGGTAATCCCAGGAGTGGATGTTGTCAGTGTGGTCTGTGTGTACTCTATATGGGGAGTCTGGCCAGGCTTCTGGGTCGTTATCTTCACTGCACGACGCCCCTCCTCTGTGAAGATCTCTTTAAACTGCTGTAAGTATCTAAAGTCATAATGTAACGATGAAATCTAAGTAAGTAATCTGGGAATCTGTTTCACTATTAAAATGCAAATTGATAGAGTAAATGCATGGAATTTATCTTGTGTAATTTTATTCAAAATTATACTTACTTATCAACAACCATTTTTGTTCTCAAGTTGAACCTGAAATATTGAAGAATAAATATGAAAGATCACCCTTCATGAGGTAAAATATGCATGAAATTTGTCCGATGCTGTGGGGATTTCTGTAATAGGTTTCCTTTTTCATGTCACATGAAAATGTTTTAGATGTTATAGGTTTTGGTTTAATTATCTAACTTTGTATAACTTAGTTTCATCATTTTTGTTTCAAACAATCCTGTAACATAAGCCTTCTATTTGTAAACAATGTTAAACCTTCCAAGGCCATGTTTTATCTATAACATTTTTATCAGTGATGTTATACCAGACATATGCCACAGCAAAAAGAAGATTGAACAGATGTCTGTCAAACATGATAACTACATCTATGTAGTGATATTGACAAGTAGAAATTTATTGAACAGTGCAGTAATTTAATCTGCATCCAGTTAAAAACTACAGCAAACCTACTGTAAAACAAAAATCAAATGCAAAATTGTATTATTTCAGATATGCCAAACACTCCTACAATGTAAGGATCTGTCTACTTTATTTCTAAGCCTGTCTTCACATACGTGCAGGTTTTTCCTCTAGAGTTTTCTTTGTAGTCATGGTCGAGGTACAGCGTGCCAAAGTACACGTCGTCTGACTTTCGTTTCCTTATACTCAGTCGTGCCAATAATTTCTTCTCTGTGTTAATGTCTCTCTCCAGTGTTGTCTCCTCAACCAATTCCTGTCATAATAGAGGGATGTTAATTGGTAATTTGTAAATGAATAATGTTTTCTAGGCAAATGGTGGCAATATAAGGAGGTTTCACTGGAAAAATTGTGACAGTATAATAGGGTTTTATTTGACAAATGGCAGCAATATCACAAGGTTTCACTGCACAATAGTGACAGTATAATATGGTTTTACTGGACAAATGGTGACAGTATAACAAGATTTTACTGGACAAATGGTGACAGCATAACAAGGTTTTACTGGACAAATGGTGACAGATTAACAAGGTTTTACTGGACAAATGGTGACAGTGTAACAAGGTTTCACTGGACAAATGGTGACAGTATAACAATGTTTTACTGAACAAATGTTGGCAGTATAACAGTGTTTTACAGGACAAACGTTGGCAGTATAACAATGTTTTACTGAACAAATGTTGGCAGTATAACAATGCTTTACTGAACAAATGTTGGCAGTATAACGATGTTTTATTGAACAAATGTTGGCAGTATAACAGTGTTTAACAGAACAAATGTTGGCAGTATAACAAGGTTTTACTGAAAAAAAATTGGCAGTATAACAAGGTTTTACTAGACAAACGGTGGCAGTATCACAAGGTTTTACTCAACAAATGGTGGCAATAGAATATAACACAAATTGAGGCAATATAACATGGATTCATCGTATAAAATTAAATGGTTTCCGTGGTAATTAGAAACAGTCTAATACTGTTTTCTACATTATATAGATATAGAAATAAAGGCCATACCAGAACATTGTTGGAAGTCATTTCAGGAGGCTCGTGCACTGTAGCATACTTCTCCACCTGTAAAAATTCACACAAATCTTTACGTGTCAATGTCTTCTTGCATCTGAAGTCTGTATCAACATAAATCTGGATAATTTGCATGAATTAGATAATTTTGTGAGTGTTAATAAATTTCAGCCATAGAGACAATGGGAAAATTTGATGTGCTGTTGTGTACTTTGAGTGTTATGGAATACATTTATTTTTGTCCGTTTGAAAAAGAAAATAAATCACTTGGTACAGTGACATACAGAGACAGATTTTCTATACAGTGTGTCTCAATGTTCCTTTTTAATTTGTTTATCTGATTTTAATCTGTATATATACTTTTGTGGAGCAAACTTGTGAGAATATCCCATCAAAACAAACAGTGCTGAGGTGTATAGGCTAGATTTGTTTGTATTTTTCAAGGAACACAAGTACCTATATTTGTATGTGTGTACCAGGAACACAAGTACCTACATTTGTATGTGTGTACCAGGAACACAAGTACCTACATTTGTATGTGTGTACCAGGAACACAAGTACCTACATTTGTATGTGTGTACCAGGAACACAAGTACCTACATTTGTATGTGTGTACCATTAACACAAGAACCTACATTTGTATGTGTGTACCAGGAACACAAGTACCTACATTTGTATGTGTGTAACAGCAACACAGAAGGAGTGAGTACATTGGATCAGGAAGGTTGGTATTTGTACTGGCACTGTCTACATTGCTAGTAAGCCAGAGGTCTCAGGTTCATTTCTAAGTGGTAATACTTACATCAAGAGTCTCAGGTACTGATAGCTGGACAGTCCTCTGTTGCCACATGTCTACTGACTGTCAAGTACAACACAAGATCTCACAGGTGAACAAGATCTCAAAGCAAAGACAGGATATTTAGTAAAAATTGGCCTTCCTTTATCATTTGTGTTGTGTGATATATCCAACTAACCAACACAATGTATTTTAAACATTTAAAAGTTCAATATATGATTTATCGGCTGTAAGTTATTCCTCAAATAAATATGTGTTTAAAGACAATATGTTGAACAATGATAATACCGTGTAAAAGATATCAGGAATCCACAAGTCTATCATATTGTAGCACACAAATTCACTTAGATTTCCATTTTCTAGAGGAAATTACGATACTTCACAATTACATTTACATTTGAGCAGAAACATCTATTAATCAACCAATCAATGTAAAATTAAGACAACGAAGATTTCCTTTGAAGTAAATACTGTTACCGGTTTCCCTATCTTTAAGTTAACATTAGGAGTGTGTGTGCGTGACTTCTTTTTCTGTAAGAAGTCCAACAGTCGAAGTTCTTTGGGTGCTGCAGCCTGGGCAAACTTTCTCTTCCTGTTGATGGCAGCCTGTGTATATTTTTTTACAGATCTGTAAACAAAAATAAAATGTTTGTATATGAAATAAAGTAATAAAATGTAACAAAAATAACAGAAAGAACCCATTTAACTTCATTATAATTCACCATTTCCAGAGAAATTCATACAGAACTCAGTAATCGTACGTGACATTGTGAATGTGATAAGTCCTGGACAAATTGACTTACAAGGAATGCAGAGAAATAATATAGTATGGGGTGGCAGACCTAATATCACAACTCTTCACAATAGCTTGAGATACATACAAGATTCAGTAGATGTACGTGAGAAGACATGAAATATACTTCAGGCAAAGTAACGCATAGACAGATAGAAGGGTGAAAAAATAATTTTCAGTATTATCAGTGAAAACACCCATTAGCAACACCTAGTACAGCTGTAATAAGCTCTTGACTTGTGTCATTTCAGTTGTATAGTCAAAACTAAATGACATAGTGTCAAATATCACAAAGATTTCTTTCATATAAACCTGATAAATAAACAAAGTTACAGTAAAATTTCAAAACAAAAAAATCAAACTTAGATGTTGAATTTTTCATTTGTGTAATATATACATTTAATAAGAGAACTCCCATCAAAAGGAAACCCATGTGAGGGCCTCTTAACAAAACATGTTATATATCAAAATAAGGATACACACCTCTTCAGTAGGGGAGTGTTGAATTTCTTTTGATCATATTGCTGCTGGTTAGCCACCAGTAACACTGAGGGGGAGGGGTCAAGACAGATAGGGTCTTCTGTTGCCAGGATCAACTGACTCTCCAAGGTCAAAAGGTCATCCGGTGTCCATCTGTGTCCATCGCTGGATAGATTGTAGATGTCAGATAACAAAGACTGAAAGGCAAAACAAGAAGTATGTCAAATGAAATATACCCTTGGATGTTTGTGTTAGAATAACCAATCTCTTAAAAAACATACACCAGAAAAATCAATAGACAATTAATCTTATATTTTTAATTAAACATAAGTAAAAAGAATAATAAATATCAATGATGTTACATGTTATTTGGCATTAACACTAGACTACAGTCATATAACTAGACTTACCTGTTGTGAGGGTTTGAGCAGTACATACTGAGTGTCATGTCCACCATTAGCAGATCTGCGGTAATCTCGCACCTCAACTATAACACAGCCGCTGTAGAACACATTTACCTGTAACAACACACTCAGTATATATTCATCTGTAATGACACACTCAATATAAAACACATTCACCTGTAACAACACACTCAGTATAAAACACATTAACCTGTAACAACACACTCAGTATAAAACACATTAACCTGTTACAACACACCAAGTATAAAACACATTCACCTGTAACAACACACTTAGTATAAAACACATTCACCTGTTACAACACACTCAGTACAAAACACAAAACACATTCCAAACACATTAATCTTCAAAGTTAACAGGAAAAACACACTCAGTATATCATGTTATCAAACACATGTTATCATTAATCCTTGCTGGCCACACATCATTAATCCTTGCTGGCCACACATACATCATCATTAATCCTTGCTGGCCACATGTACATCATGTTATCATTAATCCTTGCTGGCCACACATACATCATGTTATCATTAATCCTTGCTGGCCACATGTACATCATGTTATCATTAATCCTTGCTGGCCACACATACATCATGTTATCATTAATCCTTGCTGGCCACACATACATCATGTTATCATTAATCCTTGCTGGCCACATGTACATCATGTTATCATTAATCCTTGCTGGCCACACATACATCATGTTATCATTAATCCTTGCTGGCCACACATACATCATGTTATCATTAATCCTTGCTGGCCACATGTACATCATGTTATCATTAATCCTTGCTGGACACACATACATCATGTTATCATTAATCATGTACATCATGTTATCATTAATCCTTGCTGGCCACACATACATCATGTTATCATTAATCCTTGCTGGTACATCATGTTATCATGCCACACATACATCATGTTATCATTAATCCTTGCTGGCCACATGTACATCATGTTATCATTAATCCTTGCTGGCCACATGTACATCATGTTATCATTAATCCTTGCTGGCCACATGTACATCATGTTATCATTAATCCTTGCTGGCCACATGTACATCATGTTATCATTAATCCTTGCTGGCCACATGTACATCATGTTATCATTAATCCTTGCTGGCCACACATACATCATGTTATCATTAATCCTTGCTGGCCACATGTACATCATGTTATCATTAATCCTTGCTGGCCACATGTACATCATGTTATCATTAATCCTTGCTGGCCACATGTACATCATGTTATCATTAATTTAATATATTGTTGATATGATGTCATAGAGTTGTTATGAGTGGAAAATTCCCTTCTTAATCTTGGAGCGAGACAAGGAAAAATCTCACACCTGTAAAAGTTTGTGGATACACCTGTCTAGAATACAAGAACGCAATACCTCTTTCTGATCACAGGAACAATAACACAGCCATGAATACACATATTCACCTGTAAAGGTGACAATACACCTGTCTACAGTAGGAGAATACTGTACCTATTTCTAACCACAAACAATAAAACAGTCATGAACACACATATTTTCACTTGGAACATCTCACACCTGTAAAAGTGTGGATACACCTGTCTAGAGTAGGAAAATACAATACTCTTTTCTGACCTTTATGGTCACTCTGGTAATGACACAGCTATGAACACACATAATTATCATTCAATATTATCATCAATTCAATATTCACTGACAGGTAACAACTTACCTGAGCCCGCTCTAACAAGTCCACCAGAAACGGAGGTAGCTGTAATACATTCCATATCATCAGCAAAGTTGTAAGGTATAAAAATACCTATATCTGAATTATTTTTAAGTACAATTGTAATTCTTGTTTTCATAAGTTTGAAATTGAAAATTATTAAGTCTGACTCCTGGTTGATTTATTTGTAAATATATACTGTATTCTGGAAAATTTTCTCTGCAATTAAACTTTCAATCATGTCACACTTTGAGTTATAGAGTGAAAATAAACTATGGGTAAAAGATTATTGTTAAAAGACTGAATGGAATTGAACAGAATCTTCCGAAGGCACAAAAAACATGAGGCAATGTTTCTCTATATATGCTACATGTATGTACAGATATACATATATTAAAACATTTCATTGCTTTCAACCTAAATTTTACAAATGCCTTACGGTATCATATGCAAAATTAATTTTAATTTCCATTGCAAAACATGTTTATCATACAATTTTGTGTTACCATAGTTTCCATATTATAAGCCACAGCTTTTTCTTCTGCAGTAATTAAATCAGAAATCAAAAGCAAATGAATGTTGAGGTGAGTACACAATATATACTGCAATCACTTACCACTGCTATATACTGAATCATACTTACAAATAATGCACTTTTGTTATATCATACTTGGTCTATGTAAATGTAAAACCTAATCTGATAATGACTATAAACAAAAAACTGTAATAAAAGTCTCCACTGACCTCTGATGAATCAATATATTCCAGCAATTCTGATACCTGAAATATAAATGGAGGATTTATTGTATCGTACAACATAATAAAATTGATAATTATGGCCAATATTTTCAGAAAGGATATATGATAGAATCTTACGAGGGTAAGACCTGAGGGGTAACTGTGGACAGTAGGTATGTTAGAGTTGGCTGGACAGCACAAGGTTTGTCATGTACTTCTCAGCTTAATCTATGAAGTATCCATGTCCAAGGAAACGACCCATGGTTGAATATGTTCCTTACATACGTTCTAATTGTAAAATAATGGAAGATGTTGCCATGAACTGTACACATCATTTCTTCATCAACTGTTCATGAAATGCATAGATGTTGATGATGTTATCCAACTTTGATAGGGTTACACTACATAAAATGATGATGCAACCCTTGTCTGAGTAGCATTACAGTGTATTCCAGTTTCTCTAATCTGTGTGAAATAGAACTATCTTTTCCCTACCCTGTGTGATATATAGGTAAATAAGTATTACTGACCATTTAGATATTTTACTGCTCTGTATCTAAGTATATAATCAGTACTTAGGTGTTTAGGTCCAATACAACATTTCTCAAATAAAGCAATTATATCTCTTTTAAAAATCACTTTCTGACTGACTAAAAGAGTTACAGAAAATTATTTATCTATTGAGTATATATTGACTGTTGCTATGGTTTTATTGTTCAAGCCTTGTCCTTACCTTGACATATGTTTACCATTTCAAATTCAGTACATGGTACTTTGCTACTTGTTTCAATTCAGTGAAGCCACTTTCAGTCTAAGTTATATCTGTAACTTAATTTCATAAATTCAAACATCATTTCACATATACAGTATGGGGTGAGACATATGATATCTGAAAGTCAAATTCATGACTACAAACATGTCATATTGCCATTTTCAGTTTGAAAAGATACATTAAATACTTGCAACTAAAGTTCTGGTAAATCATTTCATGGATTCAAGATATCTTACCTCATACGGTAACTTAAATGTTTCTGACTCGACACCACTGCGACCTCTAAGCATCAGAGAGTAGCCCTCATTGCCTGGGTATAGCTTCAGTATCAGACAGTTTAGACCGTCACGTCTCACAAGCTTGGGAAGTAGGTTGGTAGCTCGGATAAGATCCTAAAGAACATGAAACTCATTAAACATATATTACATAATGTGGACAAGGATAACTCCAACCAAGTGCAAGAGTTGTCTGGTCATCGTGAGACTCGGTGATCCATGTTTGATAATTTTAGTTAAATAAAAAAAATCACAAATTACAAGCCTTAAAACCTATTTATCACTCTAACATCAACATCCTATAAAATATGTACCAATATTGATGAAGTTATCAATCTGCGATATGTTTAACCTACATAAAATGATGCTACTCTATTGTGAAGCAGCATCATAGCATGTGTAAGCTGTCTTTCCCTTTCCTGTATGAGACAAAAAGTCCCTAGCAACCATCATCCTTTGAAGCATGAGAGAAAGGCTGCTACAATATTATCGTAATTATCTGTTTGTAGACACAACTTTGTTTTTATTTTTCAAAAGACTACAACATTTCTAATAAAAACAATATATTTTTCATATATTCCTGATCCCTGATTAAACCATTACATTCTATTATTGGTAAACCAGATCTAGAGGTACAAGTTTATCTGTTATATGATACAGGAGTATTTAGTCGATTTTGATGTGCAAACATAAAAAATGCCATGAAAACATAACAATCACCCAACTTCAGTGGAGTTAAAGTTAATGTGAAGCAGAACTACTGGTGACAGTGACTGACCTTCATGACCTTTAATGATTTCAGTCTGATTTCTCAAGATAAACACATCCATTAGGTTAAGTCACTACTTGACTTGCAGTGCTTGATTCGAACCATGATGATGGGCTTATTGCTTTGTATTAAGAGACACTGTCAGTAGAGCATTGCCATTTTAATACTCAAGTGAAAATAACAGGTACATGACTTGACATTTTATCTCTACCTATGTTAGTTTGTGTCTTTCAGGGGCTAAGAAACAGACCAGTTTGTGTTCATCAGTGAGAAAGTCACCAGCTTCTACAAGGACACTTATCTCTACCTTAAAAGACTCTGGCTGTTCATGGGCCAAAGAACCCCAGCAAACAAGTGGATAAATATGTTCACATAACACCATGGGATCAGTCCATCTAGGTATGATGCACAGTTAACTTACTGTATCATCTGGCTGTGATCCGGTTTCTTCGATGTACAGTTCCAAGAGTTTCTGATGAATAGACTTCCTACAACAAAGGATATTTTGAACTGTAATTGAACCTGACACTACTGATCAAATTGTTCTGATAAGTTAGAGCTCATTTTCTGTTTTAAGACTTTGATCACAGTGGTCATATATAATAAACTTTATTTATTTTACAACAATTGCGAAACAAGTTATACCAACTTATACTAATCACTCTTGTTGGCCTGGATGTAAGCGCGCAAGGGGTCTTATAGTGGGAGGAAACCGGAGTACCCGGGGAAAACCCACGTGGTCGGGCAGGTGACCCCTAACCTTTTCACGTCCGTTACGGGAATCGAACCCTGGTCGGCTAGGTGAAAGGCGAGTGCATTACCACTGCGCCACCTGACCACCCCAGTGGTCTTCCTCCCCTAACAGTTTGTCAGTACCTCTGATGTACCCTGGCTGATTTAGCCACTTGCTTATACATGATAGTTTTGAATAAATTCATGTTCTAAATTATCAGATCTCTGTCTTTATATTTGGTACTACAACCAATCAAAATCCCTAAAATTTAAATGATTAAATGATTAAAGGATATGGTCCATTTCTTTACTTATCTAATATTGTATTTATATGTGTACCCTTTAGGATTGCTGGAGATTGGCTTGCTCAGAAGCTGAGTAGGTCTCTGTTTGGCGGTCTCAATCAAGTACTGAAAAAATATTACATTTCATGAATTATACACCATTAATGACTGATTTTTATTTGAACCAACCCTTATAAGAGCACAAAACAAGATCAGAAAGATAATGGTGAGTATAGTTATTAGAACAGGACATGAAAAACAAATGACTTTCTGCAGTTTTTAATGAGCAACATATTCATATCTTAGGCACTTTAATGTACAAGAAATATAATTTGATAGTTTTCTTTTTTCTACAATACTGTCTTTTATCTCACTCATATAACAGATTATACTGATATTCTGTGATACGTGTTAATATATAAATGGAAATTATTAATTATTTTCTAAGTAAAACATACATAAATGAATTATACATAACTGTGAAAAAAGCAAAACCTTCCACTTACAGCTTTATAAAAACAATTAATTATGAAATTTTAAGAAATTTATTTATCAAGGAATTTTTCAGTCTGTAATAAGTGGAGGGGAACCAACACACAACATCTGAATCTGGGCTTATTACAGAAAAATGAAAAAAAAACAGTTGTTAGTAATTTTATGGTGAGTTTCATTTTAACCCAGTTTCTACTTGACTAAATACATGTACTAGTAGTTATGTTTGGTGGTATAATGTAAGAAGAGATCCAAGAGGGATTAATAAGCGAAATTGAAGATGGACATCTGTCAGCCATTTTGTTTTTTTTATCAATCCCAAAATCAAACCAGCACAATAAAGAACAAAGATTAACGTACATATGAAACTTGAGAAAGATTCATCCAGTACTTCTCAACAAACAAAATTCTTTCTGGATGGACTATGGACATATTAAAAGTTGGTGTGGATATTGTTTGTGTGATAATAATTCACAGAAAATCAAGGATTTTATGTTACAATTGTGTTATAATAAATCTGGCATGAAATAATCAGTGATACAGGTCATGGTTACCTCAGCATATTCAACATCCCTTTTTAGCTTTTCCATGGTCAGCTAATGGTACATAGTGAAAGTGTCATTCTTGTATCATTCAACTGCCAAAATAAAGACGAAATGTAAGTTATAAGACGACAAAGTTACAAAGGATGTTGATAATAAGTCACGGGATAAAATCTAAAATCAGATGTATAGGTACCACACTATGAGCACTGATGCAAATGATAACACATTCCTTCAAGTTTATCCATGTTAGGGACCAAAGATTTCTGTGTGCTATTCTAATGAGCATCTACAATGTAACTTAAGTGTCATGTACTATTGTAAGTAAATCTGGCAGCATAATAATAATCAAATTCATGGGATTATTTTGAGCAACTAATACAGTAGTAATTACCACCTTGAAAAAATGATAGAGAGATTGAAATTGGCATGCTCAGAACTTCTGATTAGTGCATTTTCTAAAATTGGTCACAAAAACATCTGACTTTTTCCTAAATAAAACAAAAGCCTGGCAAGTACATAATGTATGAATCAAGTCTGTTGCAAATGGTGGAGAATGCTAAATGTCCAATGACTTAATCGATTCAATATATTTTGATAAACAAACAATTCTGCATAAGTTTATATGGTGCCAGTGTGTCGTCAACAGTTAATATTAAGCCAATATTACTAATTGTTAATATGCAATACAAAATTATTTATATGCTATATATGAAAATCTATGCATGTGGTATTTTGTTGATGAAATTATTACAATGCCATTTTTTCTGTTTTTGCTTTTGAAAAGTGGGGATAACAAGTTGCCTGTTTGTTCCGGCTCCCACACCAGAGATATTACAACATTTTAATGGACAGAGATGGTTACCACACATTCTTTCTATTAAAATTTCTAATAACCAGTGTAAGCAGGAGCCTGGAGAAACAATGAAAGATTAAGTCAAACTTTGCAATCATTGAATTTAGATAGGAGTCTACATTTGCCCGATACATCACGGTCGATGCTTCACCGTATGCATGTATGCAGTCTGTCAATGTTTAACTGTGATCGATATTGCACATCAAAAGTTTGTATCAAGTCGATACTGAAAAAAACACGAGTAAAGTCACACAAGAATGAGGAGGTGTTAGATATTTCAATTGAAAAATCGCCATTTTACCATAAAAATATAAAGAATAAAATTATACCGATGCCGAGAAAGACGTAAACAAACCAGAAATTCCCGACACAAATACATCGCTTAACGATGACAAAAGTGGTGCTTTTCCTTTGTGAAAACATATTGACCGAGTTACAATAGGTAGTCTTTAAGTTTTTATCAATATCATACATACTGATGCAATAAACAATGGTTGAAATATTATTATTTACCAAATCTCGCACCTGCCATTTTCACATTTACCATAAATCAATGTATTAAATTCTCATCGTTTTGTAGCATTCCACTTCGTAGAAGCGAAGCACTTTCTTGACCCAGATCATATATATTTCAATTTTAGTTCTCACCATTCACTCAAATGATAACGACTTACTTCCATTTACCTCCCTTGGCATGCGAAATCGCTCATAACCTGTGCCATGTTATTTAATTATATCATACATTTAAAATAAATTGTTATATATGATAATACAATGTTTACAGAAGCCTTTGATATCCAAATTTATGTTGTATAACAATGTCTGTTAGTCGGTCGTTTTCCAAATCGAGACGGAAGAATATTGTTACAATGTTATGAATTACTGATGGAACAGTTCCGTGCAGCTGAAAATATAATGATAAACTAAGAATTATCGACCAATCCTATCGATTTCTCGTATAGCTTAAATACATAACGCAAAAAGTTTGGGAAAGGAACAATATTGGATTTTTTTTAATGGAGGTGATGGCTAAAGTAAAGAAAGGTAGCTCACACCAGTCTACATTTTCTTGTAGTTCCTAGCTTAGCCGAGGCATATATATATATAATCAGTTTCTTTAACTTGTTTGAAATCACTACGTAAAAAGCGTGTATCAAGTTGGATGTAATGGTTGCTTTTAGCCGGTATATAATTTAGTTTGGTTGAGTGCTAACTTCTCTTACGCATCTTTGCTTTATCAATTATGAGTGATGAGTAATGTCGATATTTCATTTGTAAATTAATTTATACTATTTTAGTAACAAAACAAATTTGGAAGCCTTTTTCTCTAGACTGTATGATACACACAAGGAATCAAATTTTCCTATTATGATTTTTCCTTCTCTAACATTGCTATGTAATTAATAAACTCGTTGTTTCTTCAATTTAAAATGTTTGAAGTCGCTGTATATTTATATCTAGATGAACACCCCGCTGTCACAGGTACCGTGACAAATGCCAAAGTCCGACAGATATATACAAGCTGATGAAGGCTATGGGAGAATTTTATGGTCGAGGTGATAATGTCAGAGGGTATATTCTTGTATTTGTGCGAAATAAAGTTCAGCAGGCTTGTCACCATACCTGGTAGCATTGTTATGGTCATGGTTCTCATTTCGAGAGCGTGGCATTATTTTCATTTATTCATCTTTTGTTCTTGGCCATCGACCTTGAGTAAAGCGTTTTGTTGAGATATCCAATTCACTTGATGCTTTGAAACTTGTACTCGGAAAGCACATGTCCTTGTTATTGATACTATCAATTGTTCTGGAATCGCGTAATTAATTTGTTTGCTTTTATCAAGCCTCTTTTTCCTGACATTCATCAAGTTCATATATGATTAGTTTCTTGTCTTTTTTGTGTCTTATCTGAAGAAAAACGGAAACGAGTCGAAAGTTCAGCATGTGATTATTGTAATCAGGAAAGAAAACAAAAGTATAACAAGACAAAGAAATTTGCTACAATGTTTTCATATTTTTCTCACGGTAGACATACAGACAGTTCATGAATGATAGCAGTCCGAGTCTTCCCGCGAAATCCATATTTAGAATATCACAGTATGTCTCCCGGGAGCTCCATGTCACAAGATAATTACAGGTATGTATTGTTTTTCGGGGTGTTAATAGGCACAAACAACACGTTTACGTATATTGTAAAGTCCGATGTTTGTAAACCGTTTAATTGTTCATCACAGTGGAAGGGTTTCCCAGATTGGATCCAAGAATATTGTTTCGAATGTATAACATTTTCTTTTTAAATGAAAAAATGTCTGTATGTAGGGTGTAAATTGCGTAAACTCTTTCGACAGATAAGTTGCGTGTACGTAAGGGTGTGAAGGGCGAAGGGGGATGAGAGAGGCCATATTCGGTCACCCACTCCCCAAAAGGTGGGTATAGGAGCGTTCCGGTTGTTCACAGTTCCGTTAGAGATTACCAGTGGTTAGTGAAATAATAATTAATCGGATATGAATGAATTAACTTTGGGAATATTCTTTATCATTTCACAGTAGCTTTGTTAAGACTGGCCACATAGATTTTTTTTGCTCTGAAAATTCTTGTTTGTTTGCTTTTCTATGGCAGCAATTATTTTTTCCCACTAACCACTGCTTAACTCTGACCATGCTGTCGACAAATGGTGAATGTATCCATTTAATAACAGTATTTACAAGTAAATTATGAAAGTATATATATATATAAATGGATGGCCTTGGAATTTCGATGAAAATACACAATTTATTACTCATATGATATCGGCATGAATAGCTGATAAATGTTGAATCTATCAAATCGGCTGTGTCACTATCACTGACGTTGAATCGGTGGCGTCACCATCACTGACGTTAAATAGGTGGTGTCACCATCACTGACGTTGAATCGGTGGCGTCACCATCACTGACGTTGAATCGGTGGCGTCACCATCACTGACGTTGAATCGGTGGCGTCACCATCACTGACGTTGAATCGGTGGCGTCACCATCACTGACGTTGAATCGGTGGCGTCACCATGGCGTCACCATCACTGACGTTGAATTGGTGGCGTCACCATCACTGACGTTGAATCGGTGGCGTCACCATCACTGACCTTGAATCGGTGGCGTCACCATCACTGACGTTGAAACGGTGGCGTCACCATCACTGACGTTGAATCGGTGGCGTCACCATCACTGACGTTAAATAGGTGGTGTCACCATCACTGACGTTGAATCGGTGATGTCACAAATCCAGATGTCGATCAGGTGATGTCACAAATCCTGATGTTGAACAGGTGATGTCACAAATCCTGAAGTCGACCAGGTGATGTCACAAATCCTGATGTCGATCAGTTGTCACAAATCCTGATGTTGAACAGGTGATGTCACAAATCCTGAAGTCGATCAGGTGATGTCACAAATCCTGATGTCGATCAGTTGATGTCACAAATCCTGATGTCGATCAGGTGATGTCACAAATCCAGATGTTGGACAGGTGGTGTCACAAATCCTGATGTCGATCAGTTGATGTCACAAATCCTGATGTCGATCAGGTGATGTCACAAATCCAGATGTTGGACAGGTGGTGTCACAAATCCTGATGTCGATCAGGTGATGTCACAAATTCTGATGTCGATCAGGTGATGTCACAAAACCAGATGTTGAACAGGTGATGTCACAAATCCTGAAGTCGATCAGGTGATGTCACAAATCCTGATGTCGATCAGTTGTCACAAATCCTGATGTCGATCAGGTGATGTCACAAATCCTGATGTCGATCAGGTGATGTCACAAATCCAGATGTTGAACAGGTCGTGTCACCAATCCTGATTGTCATTTTTTTTATATAAGACATGTATGAAAAGAAAATAGTTAGCGGAATTGGTTACAAACTACTAGGCGTTGTCTCATGGTAAACGATAGTGTTTTGGAAGACAAGAATATCGCGGATAAATAGACAGAATCATTCGAGCTCATTCAGTGTGCGTAGAATGTCTGTTTGGCGGTGAAAAGGTTAAAATATATTTTAAGACGTATTAACGAAAATAATTATCATATTGTGAAAAAAAATCGCGTTTAATTTATGATTTTCAGAGGTGTGATTACAATTTTTCAGATAAGCTTTCAAAAAATTTATAATTAAATTTTCTACTTTCCGAATACAATTTCACCACTGGAAATTAACACCATTTGTTCTGACGTCACAACGAAAACACTGATTGTGCTTATTTTTTTTACCTGAAGGGAAATGTCTGTTGTCTTTCGCTGTATGAAAATCTTTAAAAGTTTTAATGAAAAACAAATAGTTTAATACGGAATAGAATGTACACGTCTGTTAACCGCCTCCGGCATTTGGTTGAAACACGTGATTTGCCTTTCAGTTGCACGTGCGGTTGCGAAATTCATGCAGACACAAACAGGTAACAGACGGCATTGTGCTCGAAGTACTATCCATTTATTTTCATGTGGTACCGTTACTTACGGACAGGTAAACCAGTTAGGAGTCTGAGGTTCTGTCAATAAGAATATGTAATAATCTCTATAAAAATAACCCGTATAGAATAATGAAGAACACAGCATCCGGGATATTTTTATAGCGATTGTTAGCCTTATCGGCAGAAACGCAGACTTATATGGTTAAGCTATACAACAACCGATGATCCATTTTAGATCAAGAGATCAAACAATGATTAAGAAGATGCAGCAAGTAAAGCCGGAAGCAGCAATGGACAGCTTTCTCGCAGTTCTAGGCCTATGGCGAAAACCTGTTGCAAGAGACGGGTTTTGTTTATTTCGTGCAGTTTCCGAGCAGGTAAAATCCACCCTTTTGTAAAAATATATTCTGGAATATCTGCTGCATAATTATGGCATTGTTATTGTTTTTATGTACCCGTTTTTGTAGAAAACACATTCCCTGTATTTTTGATTCCAGGAGGAAACGCGCGCCATAATTGATTCTGAACTGTAAATTACTGTTTGATACTGTATATGCATGGTGTCGATTTCAACCAACCCCGTTGAATCCAAACATATATTTATTCCGTGTTAAAACACAATGAACTAAGAAAAAAAGGTTTTTGAAAATGTTAAAACTTGCCCATACTACCTATATTATTATTGAATGTTTTGTACATGTTTCAATTTTACTAGGCTATAGGATGAGTGACGATAAATGTCGGCGATGATGAGGACAAATATGAGAACTAATGTGATAACTGAAGCATGATATATTTCAGTGTTTCCATCCTCTGTCTGACAAGAGTTTTTAAAAATGATCATGAAGAAAAATGACCTTGAAATCAATTAGTTACTACATCTCTGTGCATTTAGATGATGACATGTTATTAGGTTCAGAAATTTATTTTTCTAAACTGATATCTGATCAGATATGATGAAATATCATGTAATTCTAGTATTTTTCACTATTTGAGCAGGTCTTGATACAGCCAATGTTGACCTGACAAAAGTGGATGATTTTTTTTTGACAACACTGATATTTACAGGTTATGATGATAGTGTGATG